TCCATTTTTCTTAGCTGTGAACCCTGTATAATAAAAAAAGAAAGTGAAATATTTTCAATATGCAGTGGATCAGAGTGAACATTGCCCTTCTAAAAGGGGCAACTAAGAGGAGAAAAAGGAGAGACTGTTCCAAAGACTGAAACCCAGCAAGCAAAACAAATCTGATCACCCATGTTTGGCAGCTGGAGCATGTGCTGGCATCATCTGAGTTCCTTCTTGTGGCCCTAACATTTGCAACACTTATGGGCTCTATGCTGGAGAGTTTTATGTCAGCTTGGCACACACTAAAGTCATCTGAGAAGAAGGAACCTTAATTAAGAAAATGCCTCCATAAGATCAGCTATAGGGTAGGCAAGGTTTTAGGCATTTTCTTAATTAGTGATTGATGGGGACAGACACAGCCCATTGTGGGTGGTACCATCCCTGGGCTGATGATCCTGGGTTCTATAAGAAAGCAGGCTGAGCAAGCTAGGAAAACAAACCAGTAAGCAGCTCCTCTCTATGGCTTCTGTATCAGCTCCTGCCTCCAGGTTCCCTCCCTGCTTGAGTTCCTGTCTTAGGGTTTCTATTGCTGTGAAGAGAAACCATGACCACAGCAACTCTTACAAAGAAAATATTTAATTGGGGTGGTTCACCTTCAGTTCAGAGGTTTAGTTCGTTATCATCATGATAGGGAGCATGGCTGCATGTAGGCAGATGTGGAGCTGGAGGAGTAGCTGGGGGTCCTACATCTTGCAGGCAACAAGAAGTTGACTGAGACACTGGGCGTAGGAAACCTCAAAGCCCGCCCCAGCGATGACGCACTTCCTCCAGCAAGGCCACACCTACCAGTAGTGCCCCTCCCTATGAGATTATGGAACCAGTTACATTCAGACTACCATACTCCTGCCCTGACTTCCTCCAGTGAGGGACAGTAATGTGGGCCCCATTTGCTTTTGGTTGTGGTGTCTCATCGCGGCACTAGTAACCCTGACTTATTAGGTTGGCTCCACTCAGGAGCTACAGCTTCTCTCAGTAGGTGCCCTGTGCATTGTGTTTTTTCTTTTGGCTGGGGGGGGGGCACCACCCAGCTCTCAAGTAAATCACACATGGAGTCTTACTAGTTTGGAGTGTCCAGCCTTAGCTTGGCTTGTTTCTTGCCTGCTTTTCTTACCTTAAATTAACCCGTCTACCTTTTGCCTCTGGGCTTTTCCTGTCCTCTTAGTCTGGTAAATCTTACTCTTACTCCATGGATTGCTGTGGAGCTGGGTGGCTGGGTGGCTGGGTGGCTGGGTGGCTGGCCCCTGACACCCTCCTCTCCTTGCTCCTTCTACTTATACTCTCTGCCTGCCAGCCCCGCCCATCCTTGCTCGTGTCTTACTATTGGCCATTCAGCTCCTTATTAGGACCACCACAGCTTCAGAGTTAAAACAAGTGCAGCATAAACAAAAGTCACACACCTTAAAATAACATTCTACTGCTGTGTGCCATGTTCTCTAACATCCTGGGATCTGCATTGTCCCTTGGGCTTTACCCTCAGAGCTTTTTGCATGCCTACTAGGGGGCTTCCTGCTGGGTGCTTGATTGCCTCACATCGCCTGGGCTTACATACTTTTTGGTAGAACACTTGTGCAGACCTCCAGGACACCATCACTCTTGCATTTTGTGTGCCTTCCAAACCAGTACCTCATAGACCGTACTGAGTTCTGCCACCTCAAGAAGTACCTGGCTAACCTTGGACCCCAGCTACAGCAGCTTCTAGGTGCCTGCATGATTTACCCTGGAAAACACTTTTCTGTTTGAACAGGACACCCCTATGGTGCTGTCCTTTTAAATGAATATTTTAAATGGGTTTGCATTTTTACACTCTGGAACCCTCTCCGGGTTCGGTGCAGAGTGCAGCTTCCCTGTCCTAGCTGCAGCTGACTGCTCTATCTTCCCTTAGCTTTCCCTGTGAGCATGCTCTATTTCTTGCCACACTGCTTTTCAAATCTTGCACTTTTATGTCATTCACTGTAAAGTTGTCTGAAAGCTGCAACGATGACCATGGCACACTGCCTTGAAATTTTCTCCACCAAACAAATTAGCTCATTACTCTTGAATTCAGCTTCACTTAGAATCCCAGGAATAGGAAGAATGCATCAGTTTACTAACACAAATGCCCTTCAGTCCAGTTCTTCATAAAGGCCATATTTCTACCTGAAGCCTCACGGACACAGCCTTTGCTATTCATGTTTTTGTCTCTCTAGTCTTCAGACTTCTGACCAGAAGGCCCACCAAGCAGAGGTCATACACTCCGGGGCTTCCCTAGCTTGTGCCTCCAAACTCATCTCTATACTCCCACGAGGCAGCTTCTAGTATTGACGTCTAATATTGATGGTCAGGTACAGCACAGCAACAACACACTTCTGCTACCAGTTTTCTGCATTAGCTTTTGTATCACTGTGACCAAATTTCATGACAGAAATGGAAGAAAGGTCTATGAATTTTCAATCCATCATCATCTTCAAGGCCACCCCTAGTTGCCTACCTGAACCATGCCAGACTCCCTCCTAAGAGCTCTCAACCCAGGAAAATGACACCACTTGTTGGGGACCTAGTGTTCAGACCCATGATAGGACTCAGTTTCTTGAGTCATTGTCAGTCCGCCTCATTACTTTGAAGCCTCCCTTGTCATCCTTTTTCACCATGCCTATCCACTGGGTTTTCTTTCTCTTATCGCCTTGGTGCCTTTGTGAACGTGGCTCTGGCTTGCCTCAGTGAAATGAAAATCCTGTAAAAGCAAGAGTCACCCTGCTGTTGCTGAGTAAGGGCAGCTCGGCCCTTTGAACATTTGTGTTAAACACTTAGCAAGGTGTCAGGGTTTTTCCTTTCACTGCCCACAGTGGCTTTATGGGGATATAGATTACTGCCACACATTTGCATTTTTCTTCCATTTCTCCTCTGTGTGTGTGTGTGTGTGTGTGTGTGCGCGCGCGCGCGCGCATGCGCGTGTGTACGTGTGTGCCTGTGTGTTTGCATGCATATATGTGGAGGCCCAAAGTTACCTATGATAGCTCTTCAGTGAAGCAGAGTCAATCAAACCAGAGATCCCGAGATGGCTAATTTCTAAAGATGGCTAATTACTAGACAGCTTATTATGGGGATGCAGTCTCCTCTCTCCAAGGATAGATACAGGCAGGCTGTCCTGCCCATTTGACATTTATGTAGGTTCTGGGGATGCAAGCTCCAGACTTAACGCATTTAAGCATCTTTCCAGCCCAGATCCACACATTATAAAGTCATTTGTGAATATTTCACATTTGTTTCATGGACTATTTGTTGTTGCTTGTTTTGTTGTGAGATGGGCTCTCTCTCAGGCTTATCTCAACTTGTGACCCTTATACCTACCTCAATCTTGAGGTATATTAGGTAGGTACCACCACACCTGGCTAAAGCCTGTTTTTATCATTTTCCTTTGGCTCTTGTATTGCAAAAAGTAAAGTAGAGAGAAGAAAAACAAATGTGGAATATAAAACAGCCCTCGGTGTCCACAGATGATCGGTCCCAGGACCCCTCATATGAACTCCAGAGCATTGAGGTCCTTGTGTATCTGTGGGAATAATACTGCTAGCATAACTGTCAACCTGACGTAGCCTAGAAGCACATGAAAGAGTCTCAGTTGAGTAATTGTCTTCATTGGGCTGGGTTCTGGGGTATGTCTGTGCGGGACTGTCTTATTAATTGATATAGGAGGGCCCAGCCACCTGTGGGTGGCATTACCTGGACAGGTGACCCTAGGCTGTATAAGAAAGGTGATTAATTGTGAGCCAGCCTGCAGTGTTCCGTGGCTTTCTGCTTCAAGTTTCTGCTTGAGTTGTGGCCCTAAGTTCCTTCATTGATAACCTGAAACCTCAGAGTGTCAGCCAGATAAGCCCTGTCCTCTTGTAAAAGTTGCTTTTTGTCATTGTTTCATCACAGCAAGAACTGCAGCAGTGTCTGCATAGACATTCCCATGCATGTGCTGTAGGAGTCTGTGGATTCCCTTACATAATGCTACATACGCTGTTAAAGCTACGCTGTGGATGGTAAGGACAAGTCTGCATGCTCGGTGCTGACCCCTCTTCTTCATGGAGGGCTGTCTACTTCAGCTGTCTGTTGTGTTACCATATGGCTCTTCTGGAAGTGCTTTAAAGTTGTGTCCATTAGTGCAGCGCTGTATTTCTAAGTTCCTCAACTTCTAAGTAGTTCTGTACGGAGAAACAATACAGTCTGTGGTGTCTGCTTGTTGTGTTGATCTCCTAGTAGTTGCCCCGCTAACCATGCACCATGCAGCAGACAGAAACTGTTCATTTGCTTGAGGAACTGACCCTTGTCTGTCTTATGCTTGTATTGCTGTCCTAAGGCATGGTAACCAAGGCAACTTATAGGAGAAAGAGTTTATTGTGGGCTTACAGTTTCAGAGGGTGAGTCTACTGCTATCATGGCTCTCAGCTGTTTCTAGCAATGTGTGTTGTGGGATGGGGGGCGGGCATAGGAGTGCAGTGCCCATGGAGACCAAGAGAGGGCATCAGATCCTCTGGAGTTTGCTGTACAAGAGGCCCTGTGCCAAGGGCAGCCAGCTCCTAACAGGGAAGCTGGCTCCCAGTCCCCATGTCTTAACTTTTCTGTTGAGCAGTTTGCAGGCTGAGTACTTAACCCTTAGGCCCAGCTCTACTGTGTAATGTGGTACAGACCCAGTTTGGATTTGTATGGTTTGTGTGATAGTCTCTGAGCTGCAGAGTGAGAACAACATTTGCAGCCTCAGTTTTAATGTTTTTAATGCTAGGTGTGCTATAGTCAGTTGGAGAAAGCAGATCTCATCCCTTGGCTGAAGCCTGGGCACACAGATTTCCTAGTTTTCCTCTGACCCCTCTGCTCTGTTGAGGGTTTACAGTCTGCTTTGTGTATTTTTACTTTAAGTATAAAATACTTATTAGCCTTGTCCTAATGTTCTGGTTTTCTACAAACTATGATACTTAAATGTTGTCTTTCCTTTGTAGACATATGGAGCCTGGGTGTAATCCTTTTCATGCTGGTGTGTGGTCAGCCACCCTTCCAAGAGGCCAATGACAGCGAGACACTGACCATGATCATGGACTGCAAGTACACTGTGCCGCCCCGTGTGTCTGCAGGGTGCAGGGAGTAAGTAAAGCTGTGCACATAGTGCACCTCCATTAAACAGGCACTAACTCACCAAAGGGGACGAGAACCTGACATAACTTCAGTGTGCGAGGATTTGAGTTCATTTAACTCATGAGGTTAATGTTTCTACTGTTATTGTTTGGGGCCACCCATTAGTATTTGATAAGAAATTCAAAGGAAGAGTACATTCAAGTCCATTTTGCCTTTTCAGCCTCCAAAAAACGCCCTGCCCTGGCAGCTGCCTTTTTCTTCAGTGGCAAAAGCAAGACTGTTTGGAACTGTTTGAGATTCCAGAAAAGACTTGGGCTTTCCTCTTGGCAGGAGCATATCGTTGCGGGGTTCCTCCTGACTGTCTCGTGGTGGCATGTCTTGAATTCACGTGTCTTCCCACAGCACAGTCAAGGCTACGCTCTGGTGTGTGCCACAGTGGGAAGCCAGCACTGGCTGGCTTTGGGGTTTTTCTCCCTGTGAGTTTTCAGTGCTGTCACCGGTGCAGTGAGGAATGTCATCATGGAAAGGGCTGTTTGAAATTTGTGATATTTTTAAATGAACCAGCTGAGATTGTAGTTACCAGTTAAAATGTTTTTTTCTGCATCAACAAAGTTTTAAATTTTTCCTGTCAGCTGTAAGGAAGAGCTACAATAGATTGAGGGTTCTCTTCCCGTAAGAATCCCACCCTGGGCTCAAATACTGGCTTTTTTTTTTTTTTTTTTTTTTTTTTTTTTTGCTTACTACTGCCTATGTGAGCATGGTACAGTGTACTGTGAAAATGATATGAGGGTAGTGTAAAACCTAGTTCAGCCTGGAGCATAGTGTGAGGCTCTGTGTGTGTGATGGTGGAGGTTTGGGGATGGGACACATGGGAGGCTGTGTATGTGTTGCTGTTGGTAGTGATTTTATGCTGTAACACACAGGAGGCTGTGGAGGCAGTGATGATGATTTTAGTCTAGCACACATGAGAAGCTCTGTTTTCTGAATTGGTGGTTGTTGATTTTAGGCTGGAGCACATGAAGGCTGCATGTATGTTTATGTTAGTCAAGGTGGTTTTACACTGTAATACTCAGTAGATCCTCTGTGCTTGTCGATTTTAGGTTAGTTCACATATGAGTCTAGAAGTGTGTGTGCTGTGAGTATATGTGTTGGTGATTTAGGCTGGGGGCACATGGGAGGCTCTGTATATGTGTGTGTTGGTAGTGATTTTAGGTTGGAGCACACAGGTGATTTTGTGCTGTAGGACGGGGGGGGGGCTGTGTGTGGGGGTGGTGATTCAGGTTCTTGCTCTTACTATTCCCCTTAGGAAGCAGGTATACACCAAGTGCAGGTCAGATTATCTTCTTTGTCCCCCATTAAAAACAAAATCTCACTTTACATCAGACTACGTCATTAAACCTACAAGTTATAGAATCATCATGGATACTCCTTTCCTAAGGTCTGAGAGGTTGCCTCCGTGTCTCCTTCCTAGGATTGTTTTAGTAACTGTAAGACCATTCCGATAAGAAATAAAACAGTGGATGGTGGTGCTGCATCCCTTTAATAATTCCAGTCTTCCAAAGGCAGGGGCAGGTGGTTTACATAGCTTGTTCCAGGACAGCCAATGCTACACAGAGAAACCCTGTCTCCAAAAACAAAAAAAACACCAACTTTTTCTAGTGTTTTGCCAAGTGGCATATTTTAAGGAACTTGCCCATTTTATCTAATTGTTCGATGTCCTGGCCTTGAGTGGCTGTGAGACCTTTACTAACCAGGGTGCTGCTGTGTGCGCATGCTTCCTCCTCTTGTCTGAAGCCTGCTGCTTCCTCTGTCTCTTCCCGAGGACTGGCTTTGATGCTTTCTGCCTGTCCTGGTGCTGTGTTATTTCTTCTACCTGAACCAGGAGCTGATTCTGTTATTCAGAACCGTAGTTATTCAGCTCATAGAATTTCTTTTATGATTAAAATATTTAGGTTTAGGGCTATAAATTGCTTCTGGGACAGGTTAGCTTCATCATACTGAATTTGATCAATAGTCCTTGTTATTCAACTCATAGAATTTCCATTTTTCATTGTCTTATTTGATGCCTGCCTTGTTTACAGGTGGTTTTATTTCTACTTAGCTGATGCTTTTGATTTCTTAGCTACATTATAGTTAAAGAATATAGTCTGTGTGTTACAATATTTTCACTTTTTTTCAGGTTTGTTTATGCCTATCAAGAAGATAATTGTTATAGTCTTGTTCTTGATAGAATGTATCTTCAAGTTGGGGTCAGAGGTCTACATACATCTTTAAGGTCAAGCTCATTAGTTATATTTTTTCATTAATTACATTTTTAAAAGTTTTTTGCATCCAGAGTTTTCTTCACCTACTGAGATCATCTTCCACTGTGATGGTAACTTTATTCTTACGCTTTGTCAGTTTTTGCTTTAAGAGTTTTGAGGTAAAGTTCTTAGATGTAGGTAAGTTGAAAACTACTGTCTTCTTGATGAATTGAATTAGTTCTCTGTCAGTTTACACCAGAGTAATGCTCCCTGTTCAGGCTGTGTGTGGTGTTTTCAGGGCCACGCACACCTGCCTTGGTTGGATCAGCATCTGTGTGTGATAGTTTCCCTCATCCTTTTGAAAGGTCTGGACTTTGTTGAATTTCACAGCAGTCGCTGTTTTTGAGCTGTAGAGCTTGTTCCGTCTGCATTTGTTGTGGCCAGGGGTAGATACAAGTGTGCGTACGTCTCTACACTTCTCCTTTTGACCTTCTGCCTTGGAGGGAGGTGCTGCCATTTATCTTATGTTTCAGCTAGCTGGGGAGTTGTAGGCTATTATTTTAGTTTTTTTAAAAAAAAATCTACACTTAATACTTATCTATATTGTCTTCTAAAACAAAATATTAACTATCATCTAATACTTTAGTAAGTTTTTCTAACTGTACAAATTTAATGTTATATAGTTAGAAATTGTTGATAATCTTCTAGATGTTTAACGTGAACTTTGCCAGCTCCCTTCTGTTAGAATTACATTCTTCCACAAAAATTACTTCCTTCGTATTTTCGTTTGCTGTTGGTGGTTAATGCCGCCTTGGGAATGTCCTCATGCTATGTATCCACGAAGGCCACCCCCTGACTAGAGAGCCCTGGCCCTTCGTTCTCTGCGCTGGATGTCCTTCCAGTGCTTGTCGGAGTCCATTGCTGCACTGAAAAGTCAGCGGTCTGCCTTACAGCCCTGCTGCAGGCTCCGCTTTTCTCCTGGGGCGTTCACGTGTGGGGCTTAGACGTTAGGCTCTCTAGCTTATGAGTCACATTCTTCATGAATTTGGAAAAGTCTCAGCTACTACCTTCCCAAATATGCTTTCTTCCTTTTTTTTTTTCATACCCTCTTGGCACTCTGATGTCCGGCTGTTAGCTATTTGCACTGTCTCATCTTTCATTCTTGGTATTTTCTATCTCAGCCTACAGAGAAGTGTCTCCTAGGCTTTGTATTTCATTTCCTGAATTTTCTTATATTTAAGATCTTAAATGTGTCCATTGGTAACTTTTGTTCAATGACGGTGGTTATTTCCAAGTTTTGTTTCTATGTGAGCACAGTAACAGTGAAAGAAAATCTGTACGGGTGTTATGCATTGTCTGCAATATGATTTGCTGTTGCGGTCTTGCTGATGGCTCCTCGTTTCCCCTGTGGGTTTGATCTGCGCTAGTTTTTGAAACATTGTTCAGAAGTTCTTTTAAGGTAATTGTACAGAAAGGAGTGGTGTCTTCCAGAGCCAGTGCTAAGCTCACAGCTTCCTTCTCGTCCTCTGCTGAGGACTGGGTTTCTTTCTCGTGTCTCACTGGGCACTGATGTAGCCCTCCTTTTCTGAGGGCTTTCCATCCACTGTCACTAGCCACTGCCCCTTGTGTTCAGTGACATGAACCCAGTGTAGCCTTCCACACGAAGGGGAGACAGTTGGAGCAACCAGCTGTTTGTCCCCATGAGCCCTGCTTTCACTGTTTCAGCATCAAGTATTCCTTGTTTACTTTTGTCAACACAGTCTTAAAAAGTCCATAGATGGCATTGTTTCCATCAGGAGTCTTCCGTTCCTGTGAAACAAGCTGCGCACTGCAGTGTTTGTGTGCACTAGGCCAGCTTGCGATTCAGGGGCAGGGGTTGTCATTTAAAAAGCAGGGACGTCAGGACGACAAGAGGCTGAGAATGTTTTATTTTATAAATACAGCAACACCAGGTTCTCATTTGTCAGTGAGCCTTGAAATTGTGACTGTTTAAGAAACCATGTTTGTGGTGACACCATCGTTGCTTGCAAACAGTCTGCTTCAGTAACCGACTCCCTTCCTTCACAGCCTGATCACACGGATGCTGCAGAGAGACCCCAAAAGGAGAGCCTCTCTGGAAGAGATTGAAAGCCACCCTTGGCTCCAGGGAGTGGACCCCTCACCAGCCACCAAGTATAACATCCCCCTCGTGTCCTACAAGAACCTCTCAGAAGAGGAGCACAATAGCATCATCCAGCGTATGGTGCTCGGGGACATCGCAGACCGAGACGCCATCGTAGAGTACGTCTGTGTTTGTCAGTACTAGGGGCATCATGACAGGCTCACCTCTGGCTGCATGGTACTTAGCAGGACGGAGTGGCCCCAAGCCTAAAGAGTTTGCTATCTACTCCTTGGGGCCATCTCTGCAGCATCCTGCAGCTGCATATTATGTAGTTGCTCATGAAATCCATCAAAACCAGCCATTTTTAGTAACGTCAGTAGTGCAGTTCAGGAAAGTGCAGGATGATAGTGCTCCTGCTCTGTTCTAGTGATGAGTCAGTTAGGTAAGAAGTCCTGTCTGGAAACAGTAGAGCTCGTCCAGACATGAAGAGCAGCAGTTACTTAATGTGTTTAATGAAACAGATGCCCCCACTCAGGAAAGCAAGCAAGAGGTAACCATGGGGTGGCCACTTGGGGCTGGCTGTAGATCTGTTCCCTGACCTGGGAAAGAGGTAGGCGCAGGCTTGACATGGAGCCTTGTGTGTTGGCTCCTAACAGTCGTGTCCAGGGGGAGCTCTGGTCTCTGGGAATGATCATATCTATAGAAAGGGCGGATTTGCAAAAATAAAGCCAGGATTCCAGGTACTTGTGAGTTTTCCGTGGTTGGTGCCCAGCCATGTAAACAACCTGAACAAGGGCAGGATACTTGCAGTTTCTGCACAGACACTCACTCTCCTGTGTATAGAAAGCATTTTTTTTTTTCATTTTTGGACTCGATTCTGTAGCTGTGTGCAGTGGGGTGTCAGATATGAACACTCAGTGCAAACTCTATTACAAGCCCAGAGGTGACTACAGCTTGCCAAGCACATGGCTCCCAGCCAGGCTTACTGCTGGCTGACTGCTCACACTTTGGCTGAGTGTGCACACTCTTGAGACTCCGCTTACTCTGAGAGCAGTTCCTGGTTTAAAGGCCTGAGCATCTTAAAGGATACCCCTGAACACAGACAGCTGCTTTCTTAAGAATGTTTGTGAGAGGTCACTCTTCCTGAGTTTCACCCCAGTACTTGAACCCATATTTCTCATGTGTACTGTAGTTTACCAAAGCCGGAGGCTTCCAGAAACCAGAGCTGTGTGTTCCTGAGCCTTGTGAGTTGTCCCATGACACCCAGCTGCAGGAGGTGGACAAGGCCCTGTGCTTAATTGTTACGTCTCCAGCACCTAGCCACCATGCTGTGCTGTGAGCACTGATGTTTAAATGGAGCAGACACAGTGATTTTACTAAAGGAAAGGAAGAGAGTATCACCCTCTAGATCGCTTTAATCTCTCTCCGGTGCCTAAACTGCCAGTCCATGCAAAAGTAGAATTACCTCCAACCATTCTGATTGGTGTGGCTAACAGAGTGCCTTGCCTTTCCTTCACTCTTCTCATGGAAGCAAAGGGTCTTCCTCAGCAAAAGTCAGCTCCACCTGCCAGCTTGCTCCCAGAAAACACGCATGCTCTTAGAAAGACGCTCATGGCCTTTTCTTATGACTGCGGTGCTGATTCTAGCAGTTTGCTCTTGTCTCACTGATCTGAACACTTTTATTCCATTGCTTTTTTTTTGGATAACAGTAACAACCTAAGTAACTCCAGGGTTTAGTGCTCTCTACTTTGTATTCTTGTTTCACTTTGAAAGCTTCCCAGACTTTGGATTGATGAGGGTACACTGTCTTTACAGTCCTGTAGAACCTCACTTTGTTTCTGCAGAGCCCTGGAAACCAACAGGTACAACCACATCACAGCCACCTACTTCTTACTCGCTGAAAGGATCCTGAGAGAAAAGCAAGAAAAGGAAGTACAGACCCGATCTGCAAGCCCCAGCAACATCAAGGCCCAGTTTAGGTGAGAAAATGCCCTCATTGATTGATGCTAGGGAACTGTTAGTGAAGACCCTCTTCCTCACCGGGATGGTGGCTGCGTCCACAGAGGGAACACTGTGTTCCTGTGCTAGTGGTGGGTGGTTCCCAGTGCCTCACCTCTTACATCCGTGAAGGTTTCCTTCCTTTTGGTTACTTGGAAGAATTTTTTATAGGGACATTTAGTTAGGATGTCAGAGATTAGACAGCTGTATCAGTTAGCTGTTGGGTCTCAGGAAGGCATAACATCTCTGATTTGATGAGGAGGGGCTCAGTGAGTTAGACCAGAACCTTCCCTGAGGGTTAGCAGTCACTATCCTTCAAGGCTGTGTGACCAGTCTTGTGTTCTTTACCTGCAGAAGGGAGTAGTTCTAACTCCTTTCTAGACTGGAGTTCAGAATATTGGCCTTCACAGGCACTCTGCATTAGTCTTCTTCAGTCTCATCTGCAGCTTTCCTAGCGGCTTTTCTTCTCTTCCATTAAGAGATCTTTGCCCTGTTGGGCTCTACCAGTTGTCACCAGTTTGGACAGGTGAACCATGTGCCATATGCTCAGGAAAGGTGAGCTGCCAAACTGTGTTTTTTCAGTGAGAGCCGATGGTAGGGAGTGTTCATTAGGTATTTGCCAAGGCCAGGCCCGCTCTGGGTGTGGCTCCTCAATGGGTTTTGCTCTAAACTCATGGAAAGGGGAAACAAAAGGGGCCTGCATCCTGCTGCGCTGCATCTCTGTGGCCTGACTCCTACTGCAGGCATCGCTCAGTGCTCTCTGGTTATCTGTTCATCTGTGGCCTTAGCCCCACTGAACACATGCCTGTTACAAAACTCCAGCAGTGGCTGATGCAGGTAGCAGGTCTCCTTCCCTACAGTTGTTGAGGCTCCAAGTTGGGGAACTATGTCTGTGCAATGGTATTTTACAACTGTAGTTTTAATTGGCATGAGATGAAGATGCCACTAGGAAAGGAGCTGTTGTAAATGCCTTTGGCATCATTACAGCCTCTGTAATGTCTAATTAACAGTTTTGCTCTCCAGTATCCTTCTGTGGGTATTGAGAAGGTAGGTATTTATATTTAGAGATTTATTTCCATTACTCCGTCATTTAAATCCATTACCCATTTCCATTTATTTTGATCTGTGAAGTCTGTGCTGGGCATTCCAGGTGAACCACATCTGTACTGTGAGAGCCAGAGTGTGTGTGTGGCACATGTACATGTGTAGATAGATGATTTGTGTGATAACTGACCATGTGTAATTGTGAGTCTGTCCATGTATGCATGTGTGTATATGTAAGAGTATCTGAATGTTTGTATGTGGGTGTACTGGTCTGTATATGTGTAGATGTGAGCGTGTTTATGTGTGTATATATGATCATGTATGCAGATGTGTATGGGTATATGTAGAGGTACGTGGTGTTGAGGTTTGGGGAGAGCTTGTGCTCTTTTTCTGACAGCTGTGGTGTGCTGAGGCTGCTACATCTGCCCCCTGACATCCTTGCTGATGGACCTGAAATGCTTTTCACATCTGTGGATTTTGTCCTAACTCTGTGTGTATGCAACTTTGTATGTGAGGGCTTGTGTGCCATGGCTTGTGGGTAGAGGTTCACAGATACCTTGGGTTTTGGTTCTCATCTTCTACCTTGTTTGAAACAGGGTTTTCTCTGCCATGTGTGCAAGGATTTCTGGCCAGTGGTTCTGGAACTAATCCAGCCTCCATCCACCATCTTGTGATGGTACTGGGTTACAAGAGTGCTCAGCCTGCCACATCTGACCTTCCATGGGTGGCCACAGTCTGAAGGCAGGTCCTCACACTTGGGCAGCAAACACTACCACTGAGCTGTTTGCCTTCCCAGGATAGACCAGCGACTACATGACGATTATTTTTCCTCTGTCACACAGGCAGTCATGGCCAACCAAAATTGATGTGCCCCAAGACCTTGAAGATGACCTCACTGCCACCCCTCTGTCACATGCCACAGTCCCACAGTCCCCTGCTCGGGCTGCCGACAATGTTCTTAATGGCCACAGGAACAAAGGTCTGTGTGACTCGGCCAAGAAAGACGAGCTCCCAGAGCTGGCTGGGCCAGCACTGTCCACTGTGCCGCCTGCGAGCATGAAGCCTGCTGCCAGTGGGCGGAAGTGTCTCTTCAGGGTAGAAGAAGATGAGGAGGAAGACGAGGAGGACAAGAAGCCTGTGTCCCTGTCCACGCAGGTGGTGCTGCGCCGGAAGCCGTCAGTCACTAACCGCCTGACATCTCGAAAGAGTGCCCCAGTGCTCAACCAAATCTTCGAAGAGGGCGAGTCGGACGATGAGTTCGACATGGACGAGAACCTGCCGCCCAAGCTGAGCCGGCTGAAGATGAACATCGCTTCTCCGGGCACAGTGCACAAGCGCTACCACCGCAGGAAAAGCCAGGGCCGCGGCTCGAGCTGCAGCAGCTCCGAGACCAGCGATGACGACTCTGAGAGCCGCAGGCGGCTGGACAAGGACAGCGGCTTTGCTTACTCATGGCACCGGCGTGACAGCAGCGAGGGACCACCGGGCAGTGAGGGCGATGGCAGCGGCCAGAGCAAGCCTAGCAGCGGTGGTGGGGTGGACAAGTCCAGCCCGGGAGAGCAGGGCACGGGCGGTGGCGGCCAGAGTGGCTCAGGCGGGACCCCATCGGGTGCAGCGGGCTCCTCCAGGCGCTGTGCGGGCCCCGACTCCTCTTCATCCTCCCCAGCCTCCGCCTCCGCTGCTCCACGTGGTGCAGAGCTTGTGCAGAGCCTCAAACTTGTGAGCCTGTGCCTAGGCTCGCAGCTGCACGGCGCCAAGTACATTCTGGACCCGCAGAAGGCCTTGTTCTCTAGCGTGAAGGTGCAGGAGAAGTCCACGTGGAAGATGTGTATCAGCGCCCCAGGCCCCGGCCCCGGCCCCTCTGCTGACCTGGACCCGGGCAGGACCAGGAAGCTGCGGAACAATGTGCTCCAGCTACCTCTGTGCGAAAAGACCATCTCCGTGAACATCCAGCGCAGCCGCAAGGAAGGGCTGCTATGCGCCTCCAGCCCTGCCAGCTGCTGCCACGTCATCTGACCACGCCATCTGACCTGCAGAGCGCGTTCCTCTCCATTTGTTCTGACGTGACAGTGCATGGTCTTTGTGCATGCTGCTACACGCTACTTTTCTTTTCCAGCCGAAAAGTCTACTGTGTGATTTTTACATTCATGATTTCAGTGTGGATGACCAGAATGAAATTGTATATCTGGAACTCAACGTAAATGGAGCGCTTAGAAATTCATGTTCTGACTTAACCTGGAGGGAAAATGCTTTCATTTCCTTGTGAAAAGCCCAAATTCCTGTCTGACCTCCGGTGATAGGTAAATCCATGCTCTGAGGCACACCGGTGCCCGAGACAGAACCAAAGCAATAACGTGGTGATAGCCACAGGCCTGGGAGGCGCCACAGCTGCTGCCAGCCACCCAGGGCCTGTGCACCAAGAACCCAGCCACGGTTTGAGCGCCCACACCTGTTTGTCTTAAGCGATAGTGTGAAAACAGTTGGGGCTCTTACATTTTCATTGACAAAGATTTTCTTGTTTGTAGTAGGTGAGATCAGCTACTTAGGTTTGTGAGGCAGCTTCCCCTATAGAATTACAAGGAGACAATCTTTTGTGAGGTGATGAGGTGAACTCTTGTCTTAACTACTTAGAGTGTATGTGTTTGACAGAACAAACAGAAGCTCGGGGAAAGTTTTCCCTATGGACATACAGCAGGGCTCCTTCACACCTGTGGAGAGGAGACTGGAGGGCTTGCCTGCTGCAGTAGCCACAGCCACACGGGTGGCTGCAAAGTCACACCCACAATAAAACAGCTTCCTGGGTTGGTTTTTCAAGAGCCTGGTGGTTAGGTGGCCCCTGGCCTCTTCCATTCCCTGGCAGCGTTTGGCTCAGACGCAGAGAGCAGCTGAAGAGAAACTGCTCAGGAAAGGGTAGTACTAGAGCCCATTCTGTGGGCTGCCTGCCTGCCTCACACTGCTCAGAATTCTAGTCCGGACTGATTATCATCTCCCCAGGCATCTTTTCTGATGCACTAGCTTCCCTAATCTTGGGGAGCCCAGATGCTGGTTTGTTTTGTTTTTCACACTGTGCCCTGTGGGTTTCGAAAGCAGTACTTACAAGTGACCTGTGGGTAGGTGTGGCTGCCAGGCCCAGCGTCCCTCCCACACTCCGGCTTCCTTTCCTGACTTGAGTGGCAGCAGAGGTGCATCTGACCATGTCATTCAGGGCAGGCGAGGCACAGGCCAGTCACTTCCTTAGTGGCCACTTTGCTACCTTAGGGTTAATGTATATTACTCAGAACTTCACAGTAGAACCTGATACACTAAGTAAAATGATAAGATACTCCCTAGACCTAGGCTAACGCTCGTGCTTTAAGCTACAGTCCCGTTCAGCGTGGCGAAGATAGATGTGTGGGTGAAGCCATAGAACACATTTGCTGGAAATTCTTAAGCAGGGATCTTCAAAGGGCCAGAAACCAGTGTGGTTCACAGAGACGGTGAGAGCTACGTCTGTGTGAGCAAGGAGAGACGTTTATAAGGGGCATTGCAATAAACTTTGTCGCAGCCGTTTTCCAAGGAATGTACATACTTGTGTGGTCACGTCCAGCCTCAGAGTAACGCCTCTGAACTCAGCCGTATGCGTTTGGTCCCCAGTGGTTTTATATTCAGGTGTATATATGGTGCTCACTTTAGATCAGCAGTGTTGGCCATTTATGCTGCAGAGCTGTATCATAGCCTTATTAGTTGTGTGTGGTTGGTGACCCTTTGGGTACATAAATGTCTGTCCATTTGTTGACAAGTGGATGTTTGTGCATGTGTTGTATGTCATGGGATGTTGTCACGGGGAGGGAGCAGAACACCATCACACCAATAGTGGACCAAACTACTTCTTGCTCTAACCAGTTACTTGTCCCTAACCTGTCTTCAGAAGTCACATAGAGTTACAGTAGTGTATAAATTAACTATTGTGGGAAAAGTTAGTCTTGTATTTTTCTGTGTGTGTGTGTGTGTGTATATATATATATATATATACATATATATATAAAATTATGTACTTCTGGAATTCTATCTGTATTTAAAGATGTGACAATCTTGACACCGATTTTAATAGTCATGAGACTGAACAGACATGTCCTACCGAGCCAGAGTGGGTGTGTGCCGAGAGTACACACTTGTCGGCTGATTGGTCAGTTGCCTCTAGTTCTGGCCAATCTTCCTCCTTGTGTTAACGTTGACAGGTATGTGACAGCTGGGAAGTAATCCAATAATAAAGTGACATACTGGTGTTCAGCAATACAAGCTGGAATCTGTTGTTTTTCTCATGAGCGCAGTGCTGTGCTTGCCTGTCCAGCACACGGGCATGGAGTTTGCTTCCCATGGGCAGGCCCTGTGTTCTAGCGCTTGGTGGGGGTGGAGAGAGTCCTCTCTGCCAGTGTCAGGTGGCGCCAGAGTGGCCTAGTATACTATCCAAAGGGCAGCATTTCCTTTAAAACTGTCGGGACACAAGGGCTACAGCACGGTGACTATTCCATGCCTTCCCTCGCTTGGCTTGCTTGTCTCTGACTTAGCAAACAAGGCTCGGCTGTCTCCCTGTCTGCCCGTCTTCTGCCCTTCAACCAGTGTGCTTCCAAGGTCAGCTCTCTCCCTGGCAGCCATCATGCCTTGCCTCGGTCGTTGCCAGCTGTGGCGCTCTGCGGCAGCCCTGCTCCCTCTCACATTGGTGGCATGCTAGGTCCCTCTCCCCACGGAGCCACTGTGGCTGCTGCATCCAGGGCAGATGGCTTTGTTGAGTCACCTTAACCTCCACTTGCAAAACCTGGGCTCTTCACGCTTAACGGCTTTTTCTCTCTGCCTTAGAATGGGATGGCTCAAAGTTCTCTTTCATGAACCCACGCAGGCTCAAACACACATGCTTGCAAGTCTTCCAGACACCCCACCTCTCCCCCAGGGACATGTTTCAGTCCCCTCTTTGACAGAAGACCTAGATACATCCATTCACAGAGCATTGCAGTCTCCAAACTCCAAACACAGTCTTTCCTTGAAATTCTTCCTGTCCATCAAACGACAACTGTACAAGTTTTGGTAGCAGCCTGCACTAGTGACTTGTCTCATCCAGCATCAAAATACCTGGCTGGCAGCCTGGGGAAGGCAAGGTTTATTTGGCTCAGGAAAGTCCACTATGGCAGGGAAGGCGGGGCTTGAGGTACCTGCTCATACCGTATCCGCAACCAGGAAGCAGAGTTGCATGCTGGTACTCGGCTCTCCTTTTATTTGTCCAATATTGGGGGTGGGGGTCTTTCCACTTCAGCTAATCTGTAATTCCTCAGACCTTCCCAAAGGCTAAGTATAGACAATCCTCACAGGAATGGACAGAAGAGTGTCTCCTAGGTGACTCTGGATCCTGTCAATCTGACATTACAAGTCTACCCCTTGCCAACTTGATATCCAAACAGCAATTTTAAGCTGTAACTTCCTACCCCTTTCCATGGGTTTATGGCTATCTCAATGCAAAATACATTAGTACAACTTCAAAAGTCCCCATAGTCATTAACAGTTCCAATACCATTCAAAAGTCCAGAGCCCTCGTCTGATCTGATGCTCAAGCCGGGTCCTAGCTGTTAGTGCCTACAAAATAGTTACACGATTTCAACACATAGTGTTAGAGTGAGCAGCCCATACCCAAAGAGAGGCATGGGTGCCTGGTAAGGAAGACCAGACCTAAGTGAGACAGACAAGCCACTAGCTTCTCCTTGGTACTAAGTAGCTATAGCAGCGTTGCTATATACATTGCTCTTCTTCTGAGACTTTTAAATTTGCTCCAATTTTTCCCAGTCAAACTGAATATTTAAAATGCCTTGTGTTTTCCACTCTGGGTATCTATTAACTGTGGTAAGTCGCCGTGCCATAGCTTGAATGTTCTACTTTCTTGAATTTTCTTCCATCAAACCCATCAGTCTGTTTCCTTCAAGTTCAGCTGTATTCAAGATCTTGGGAGATGGATAGAATAAAATGGGTTCTTTGCTAGGATATAATTTGAATGGTCTCCAGCTCAGTCCTTGAGAGTCCTTGTCCCTCTGGAACCTCATGAAGGGGCCTCAGTGGCTCTCATCTCTCTCAGCATGTCTGTCTTCCAGGTTCCTTCCAAAATGTCCATTGATCTCTGCTGTGTTACAGGAGTCAACAGATTTTTTACTGGCCCAGAATTCCAAACTCACATTCCTCTCACAAAATGGTTCCAAAGACCCAAAAAGCAGAGTCAGGTGGACAATGGCAATGAGCCTGCTTCTCAGTACTGATTTTCTGTGGTTACTTCTATTGTTGCTGAGTTAAAATGTCTGATAAAGACAGTTTTAGATGGAGGGCAAGAGGTCCTGGCCTCAGAAACGTAAGCAGGCAGGTACATTGATTGGATCTCAGCTTAGCTTCAGGATGGATTTTCCCACCTCAACCCAGTCTAGACAATCCCTCACAGGGTGAGGCAAGATCTAATGGCTGAGCACCCACACCCACCGTTCTCTGGGCTCCTGGGGATTCACTGTGTCAAGTTAACAATCAAATTAGCATCACATACCCTCTTCTCTGCCATCCCAAGGCTCTACCTGCAAATGCTTCTTTCCTGACCTTTGTGCCTTCCCTCTGGTGCCGCTACTGCTGGCTCTCAGGACCTCCCCACTTGCCCAGGTTCCTTCTGGGTTTCTATTTCTGTTGCCTGTTCTCTGCCCAGAAATGGAAGATACTTTTCCGCTACGCCACAGGGATGGAGAAGTGGCTTGGTGGTTAGAGCACTAGCTGTGCAGATGACTGGGTTCAATTCCTAGCACCCAACCATCAGTGACTCCAATTCTAGAAGGTTCAATGCCCCCTTCCGGCCTTCATGGACAACACAAACATATGGTGTACAGATATACATGCAGGCAAATACTCCATACACGTAAAAATAAATCTGAACTGTGACGTTTTAGGGGAGGTGGGGAAGGGGCTTAATTTCCAAGTATGGGGGGTTTCCCACATCAGTCTCTGCTGAGTTTTCTGTCTGGGTTCTTTCTTCATGGGAATGCAATCACTTCAGTGTTTAAATGAACAAAGCTTGTTTTCTGGGATGACACACACAGCCTGTTTGGCAAATGTTCTGTGTGCACCCGTGGGTGCCCACACCGCAGCTGGTTCTTCACCAACCCTGCCCTCTATGGGTTCACCTGTGCCACCGGGAACCACCACGGGGTGCTCTGGGCTGGCGCTGAGCCACCCAGCAGAAAGTACTGAGGGAGGGGTGTGATGGGAGGTGCCCAGGGTGTGTCTGTGACTGTGAAGTGACTGGCCTCGGGCCAACCCCATTGCCATCCAGTTCTACTGACCTGTGGGACTCAGTGGCAGTTGTATCTCGCACTTGAAGGAGGCAAGTTTGAGTTGCATGTGGTGGGGGGGAGCCGGTCCTTCAAACCTTCCTTAGTTAGGCAAAGTGAGGCCCAGGCTCCACAGCCTCTGGCACAGGGAGTTAGGTCTCCCAGTATCTAGGATCCAGAGCCTTGTGCTCTGGATACAGCCCTGGAATCTTCTGGAACCTTCTGGGATCTGCTGGTGCAAGGACTTGGACACTGAGGTAGCTGTCCCTAGGAGCACCTCCCTCCTGGTGAGGGCTGCATCCACACTCGGCTGCTTCATGTCACGTCTTGCTGGGACTCTTCCAGGCAGGGCCTGTGGGACAGGCTTGTGTGAGAGACTGAGCTAACACTTGCCTCCCTTGGGCCTAGGGCTCTTCCCACGGCTGCCCTACATGGTGTGTCTCCCAGTGACTTTTGGGGAAGCCTCTGGGTGGCTAGTAGAATAGCAGGTATGGAGTCCAAAGGCACCTCTCATTTCCCATTGGTGAATGTGTCCCTTTTCCTTCTTGGGCCTCAACCACCCTGCTCTAAGAAAAAAATGGGTTGAACTTTATTCTGGTCTTTATAGGCCTGTCCCTGGTGGCTACCACTATCCTGGGTACTGACTCATGGCACTGCTTACCCCGGCCAGGTGGGGGCAGACATCATATTGTCTGGGCCTACTGATGAGAGCTGGGGGACTAACCTTGGGGTTTCAGGGCTCAGGTCATCTTTGGTGGCTGCCATTTACTGGCTGTTCAGAACATGAGCTGGATCTAGAATGTTCCACCAGGAACCCAATAAACCACAGCAGTACCATGCCCTGGAGTACCATACCTCCTTCCAAAGTAAAGGACAAAGGCCAGAGTCAAGGCTTCTAAAAACAAGTGATACCAAGCCAGCTGCCACCTCTTCTCTGGGTAAGTGTGACATGAAGATGCAGGACCACTGGGCTGCTCGGGACAGGCTATCGGAGCTCATGCTGGGAGGAGCCGGACAGCTTGCCTGCTGCCAGGCGAGCTCACAGGGTCCAGCAAGGGTGCCGGCTCCCACCCTTCCAGGCCTTGCTTCCTGGGTGGGCTCCGTGGGTGGACATAGGTTCAGGTTGGGAGGCACACGTCACTGCTGGCGGTACCAACACTCTGCTACACGTTCCCACCCACTCTGGGCTTCCCTCGGGTCAGCAGCAGCAGCGCCCCCCAAAAACCTGGGCCTGGCTGTGAGCTTCGGGGTTTCGCTTGACTCCTGGGATCCCCATCTTACCACCCAGCTCTGCAGGCAGTTGAAGCATGTATGGAGTCCGGGAGGGAGTACAAGTCAGGCGAGGGCGGCCTTTAATAGCTCCTTTAGAGTTTCAGTTAACACACAGCCAGGGTCAGGTGTGGGGCCCTCAGCATGGCTCCTGTGAATCAGCATAATGAGCACAGACCCTAAGCCAGGAATGAAGTTCTAGGGCAGCGTGAGGCAGCTGGTGGGGCGTGTTGACCTGGGAGGGTCCAGATATGAGGGCACCAGAGAGCTACCAAGGGCCCACTGTGTGTTAGCCCCGTCCCACAGCCAAGCATCTGGCCTGAGTGCAGATTGTGATGGGCGCCCTGTGCAGGTGTGAGGCAGGCTTCCCTCAGCAGAGGCTGGGGCAGGGCAGCCAGCACACTGGGGCTCAGGGCGCTTCCTTCTCATCTTCTGGGGACTCCTCCTTTAGGTTTTCCGACACCAGCTTCATCTGCTGTTGAGAGAGCACAGGACAGTGGATAAAACGCACGTCAGGTGGCAGAGGCCCCATTCTGCAGATGCTCGAGATGGAGGACTGGAACTCCAGGAAGGAGAATCGCCAGGCCCCTGCCCACAGCTTACCTCCTAAATGCCTCACCTGGCCTGGAGAGAATGATTAGTATAGGTGGAATGCCACTGTGATATTGGGGGCCTAAGAAACAGCTG